TCCTGCACTGTGTACCGTGGTGTGGCTGCTCCTGCTGGGACCGGAGGCTGTGGGGTGTGGTGGGAAGGGTATCTTCCCATCAGGTTATCACCTTGACATGCCTTACTTCGGATCAGCAGAAGTGAGTAGGGATTCTGATATTGGTGTTCTTTCGGAGTTCGCAGCTGGCTACTGCGGGGCCGCGGGGGCATGTGGGGCTCCAGCAGCACACCGGGCACACCTGAGTTTGCAGCTGGGGCTCTGTAGGCCGGCTGGGGTCGAGGCTGCCTGTGCTCTGCAGGGCGGTCGAGCGTGGCAGTGAGGATCTATACTAGCTGGAAACTATGAGCTCTTTCTGCCTCTGGCGCGTGACTTTTGGTTGTAAATAAGGACGTTGATTTGGGACACTCCACTCAGCTTCGTTATCTGGGAGCCTGCACGCGTTCTGGGTCATTCTCCCATCTAAAATGTGTCTTGCACTGTTTCCTCGTGCCAGAGCCCCCAGGAAGGCCCCAGGTTAGCATTGCGTGGGTGCACCGTGGTGCTGCCTGGGTGTCGGGCTGCGGGGAGGACTGTGGGGACATGCTGTGGAGGGTATTCCTCTCTCTCATGAAAAAAATAATCAGTAAGTGTCCTGAGTGGCCGGAAGCCCAGGCATGGCGATGCTTTTCCGCGCTGAAGTGCAGTCAGCCTCCAGGTCAGGTCTGGGGCCCTCTTAAGTCGCATCTGGCTCTTACATCACCGTTAATTACAGCGAGGGTGGTGACTCACTTATAGCGGCTGTTTTTATCTTTTCCTGTCAGAAGACAGCGTTTCTCTGGAGAAGCTCAGGACTAGCTCGGCGAACGTCAGCACGTCGGGGAGAGCCAGGGTTCACGACCAAAGCGCGGCCATGTTGCTGCAGCTGAGCCAGGGAGACCGAGCGTCTCGGAGTGCCCCAGCATTGGGTTTGCAGTTTAGGTCATGGAGTCTGGCCTCGATTCAAACCCTAAGTGCCTAGCTTCTTCACTGCTCAGTAGGGCCGTGTGATCAAATGGAGCAGGAAACCCACACGACGGCACGTGGGACATAGCAGGAGCCCTCGCAGTGTACGTGGGGAAGCCGTCCCCCAGAGACCCACCTGCTAGCTTCCTTCCCTTCCCTCACTCCCAGCCTCCTCGCGCAGCTCTGCGAAGTGACAAGAAGTCTGTCTCTAGACCCCAAGCCAGCAGGCGGGCTTCTCGTCAGCCTTGCTGTGGATGTACTCGCCACGTGCTTCGTGTTTTCCGTGAAGCACCTGCGAGCAGTGAGCGGTTTCCGAGACCTCTGCCCACCTCGGGGTCAGTAGGTGAACAGCGCTCGCTGCGAGCTCCTTGTGGCCTGGGCACAGTGGCCAGAATGTGTCTTTTCCAGTTCGCTTTGCTCCAGTGTCTGCTCAGCGTGTGTCCAAACTTCGGGCCCCACTCCCTCAGCTGGACCTCCCCAGACCTCCGTCCCGAGCCCCACGTCTGAGCCACCCACACTTCCAGGGTCGTCTGCAACACACAGAGCCTTCCTCGCACCAGCGTGGCGCTTCTTGTGTCCTCGGATCTTGAGAGTCGAAGACAGGCCAGTGTCTTCCCGCTTGGCAGACGAGGAAGCTGAGGCTCTATGGCAGTGAGGGGTCGAGGCAGGGCTCAGCCTGGGGCTCCTGTAGCCGGCTCCCTGCCACGCTGTGCTCGGGGCGGTAGTCGGTACCCAGCTCGGAGTTCATGTCTGTAAGTCGTGTTTCCCAACCAGAGGGGGAGCTGTGAGAGGAAGGTGGTCTCCCTTCCCGTGTCCCTGCCATCGGGCACCTCGACTCCCCTCCCAGTAGGCAGCACCCCACAATCTGCTAGAGCGGAGACGCACACCCGGACGCTCTGGGGTGTGGCTCCAAGTCTTCATTTCTCTTTCCTTTAAAAAAATTCATGTATTTATTTATTCCATGGAAGAGAGAAACACAGGCCCCAATAGGGCCCCCGAGCCTCCACCCACCCTGTCTCACCATCCGGCGTCATGGGCACACACACAAGCCTGTGTCCCAGGAAGGCCCCAGGATGACAACCAGGGCTTCCCCATGTGCGTCCAGTTGTGTGGGGCTGCCAGCTGGCCCCCGGAGAGCCTGGCAGGCTTCCCGGGTGACCGTGCACAGCAAGGACTTGGCGGCCAGGCTCGGGAGCTCGTGGGAAGGTGGTGATGGGTATGTCTGACAGTCCTAGACAGCATCCACTCCTCTAGCTCTGGAGAGCGGCGGGGGGGGGGGGGTGGGGGGGCCCCTGTGGGACAGGACCACCTACACCGGCCCTGCAAATCCACCCGTGGGAGGGTGGTTTTCATACATACTGCCGCCGACCCACCCAGAGCCAGTCTCCAGTAGGAACCGGATGGCAGGTGGCTGCACCGGCACCTCCTGTACCTCACTTGGTCAGAGCCCCAGCCCTGGGCCCTGTCTCCATGGTGCCCAGTTTTCTGCCATCCCCAGGCTGAAATGTGTGGCTTCAGAGAGGACCTGCCCCGGCAGTGGCCACTGGGACTGTCCTCCCTGTAGGATGCTTGCACCGTGTGTCCGGTGTGCGTGTGCATGTATGTACATACGTGTACGTGTGCACACACGTGCACATATACACACGTGCATGTGCGTACGTGTGTGCATGTGTGTGTGCATGTGTGTGTTGTGCATGTGCGTACGTGTGTGCATGTGTGTGCATGTGTGTGTACGTGTGCGTGCAGGGCAATGGCTCCTCACTGGGGCGCTCCTGCTCCCCCAAAGGATACTCACAGTGTCTCCAGACGTCTTTGGGTAACGTGATGGGGTGGGGGTGCTACTCGTGTCTGATGGGGGCAGGGAGGTTGCTGAACGTCCTCCAGTTCCTGGAGCAGCTCGTCCCTTCTCCTCCAAGAACTGTCCAGCTCAGATTCAGAGGTCCCCAAGCTGAGGGGCTGTGGTGGAGAGAGGGGGTCACTTTCCCCAAGCAGAGCTGTCCCCAGGTCTGAGGGAGAGCGGTGTGGTCCTTGGCCTGCCTGGCAGTGGCTCTGGCGTCTCCTTAATCTGACCCTCGCCCCGCCCCGTTGGTGCTGGTAGAGGGCCCTGCCGGGACTGCTTTGCAGGCATGCGTCGGGATCACAAGGCAGGGCCAGCAGGGGACGTGGTGCTCAAGGTGCTGGACTCCCACATCACCAGCTGCAGTTCGATTCCCAGGCCTGGTGGCTGTAAAGCACTGTGGCCGCGTGTGCATGCCCCAAATCTCAAGACGAGAATAAGGAGAAGGATTGCGGCACGGCCTCCCCGGAGGTGACCTCTCACAGTCTCTCTCACTGTCTCTCTGTCTCCCTCCAGTGAGTGCACAGCCTCCGGCAAAAACCAAGCCAAGGCAGAGATAAGGGAAGCCCTGGGAAGGGCACGGGCTGGGCCTGTTTGCTCCGTTCTTTGCTTCTAGTGACCTGCTGATTCCTCCAGGGGTCGACATCCGTGTAAACCTGTATTTGATATAATCTGGGAGAGGGAATGAGCCAGTGTAGACGGCCGAGATGGTGACCACACCTGGCTGCTTCCAGCCACCCGTCTACACTGAGCAGCAACTGCTTGGGGGGCGGGGAGCGCTGAGCATCTCCGTTTTTCAAGTAAAACCCCTGCTCCGTGTTCTGACTGGCCTGAGACGAGAGGGGAATCCAGGCAGCGCAGAAGGGGCTGTGTTTCTGAGGCTGGACCCCCGGGCCGGCCCCAGGTGGTAGGCACAGCGGGCACAGTGGGCCCCCGAGTAAGGTCGGACTTCAGGGATGGCGTGATCAGGGCGACTCCTGGAGACCAGGAGCCTGGCAAGCAGTGCCTTCAGCACAGCCCAGAGAGCACCCAATTGTGACGGAGCCCGGGGCAGAGGCTGTGTAGCCGCGTAGCCCGTGAGGGACGGCGAGAGGCCTTCACGGAGCCAGGAGGGCGGGGGAGGGCCAGGGTAGGCAGGGCTTCCCCCTCCCGTGGTCCCAGGAGCATCTGCAAGGTCGACAGTGGTGAGAAGGATTGCCTGCCACGTGGGGACCGTGAGGGCCACGGGGAGGCCACTGGACGCCAAGAGAAGGGCTGAGGCAGTGGGATAGGAAGACAAGCCTGGGAAGGAGGGTCGGGCTGATGAGGAATGGGGTGCAGGTGTCAGCAAGGTCTGACAGGAAGAGGGGCTTCTGTCTGGCAGGCCTGACCCCCACGTGAACCGGCACCGGCCCCGTTCACATGCACCCCAGGACGTGCTTGAACACTCGCTGCTCGGTGCTAACAGCAAAGGGTGGCAGCCCTGTGCCCAGCCCTGCAGCCCCGTGGTGTGTGCGCATTGGGAGCGGCCGATGACAGGCGAAGAAACAGGCCCCGAGAGCCACCTCCATCGGGGCCACATGGCTGTGTGCGTGGCAGAGCCGAGATTTAGCCCGACTGTGCCTGGGAGCCCACTGACCCCCTGCCTAGTACTGCGTCTGCCCCGCCCTGCAGCACGTTGGACCTGGAGGGCAGAGGTCAGGGCCCAGAGAAGGCAGGGGCGCGTCCAGCCTGCCTGGGCCTTGGGGGTGCTGGCCAAGAGCCCAGAGAGAACAGGCGTGAGGGCAGCCCCCTCCCCCCCCCAGGGGCCTGTCCTGAAATGTTTTCACTCAGCGTTTGATATTAAATACCGGAACTCGAGAGATGACAGCGCCGTTAGCAGGACAGTGATAAAGGGGACATTGAGAAATGCATTTAAAAGGTTCAAGGTCAACGATGCCGTTCAAGAGCTGCATCCTGCTTCCCAAGGGGCTCCGTGGGCCCTGCTGGCTGGGAGCAGTTGGCTGCAGGTGGCGGTGAGACTGGAGGAAGCTCGTGGGTGTGTCCCCAAGGACAGGACTGTCCCC